ACTTGCATGCACTCAGAGCGGTCATCCATGATGACAGCACAGATGAATACAGGCGTACTATTACTTAAATGTGATCATACTCCGCCTCATGGTTTCGTAACACTTTCCGTGTCATGATTGTTCGTTCTTTCCAGGAACAAGTAGTAACATAACCAGCTGTTTTTTACTTTTTTATTTTTTTTTTATTCCTCAGCACATGTACGTAAACAAATCACTGATTTTCTAATCAGATATTAGTGGATAAGGCAATGTCCACGTCTTTTTTATCGGATACTGAAGTGAGTTGGAGAAGTATGCAGGGATATCCCAAGATGCGCAGACAAGTAATACAGTGCTAATCAAAGAGATCCTGGTCACATTGGAAATTACGTCTATTGCTACAGGATTAGCTGTTAATCTTTTGTTTAACCTGCAGTTGCAATTAAATTTCATGATTAAGTATTATGAAATTAATATTTCATATTAATATCTAATATTTGTTTCAGAAACTTGTCTTCCTTTTTCCCTATAGGTTCTGCGGAAAGAGACACCGTTCATTGAAATAATGTTCATAATCATTAATTTCAAACAAGCCTGATCAGAATACATGAACTTAAAACTTATTTAGTGGAATCACGAATTTTCAAAACTTATGAGTGACTTTAAAAGAAATTATTTTTTTATTTATCTGGAGGATATAAATGTAATGAAAGGTATAAAACTTTACAGGATAACTTTTTTTAATAATTTGATATAACTTAATTTAGATAGCAAAAATGGATTTGTTTAAACAGATCAGTACCAGATTCCAAACGAGTTTTCTTGTAAATCTGTTTTTATGCAACAAAAAACAATGAGTGAAAGAAATTCAGGAATATTTTCCTTCTGGATTTCTCCTTAAGTTCTAAAAATTATTTAGACAAAAACCTGGAAAATAAACTGTGTAAGTTATAGCTGCCTTTTATAGCACTGAATGCTAAGCTACGGCTCTTTTTGCAAACACTTTTATGCTTTCAGTACAGTTGCACGAAATGCCATGAAAAAAAAAAAAAAAAAAAAAAAAAAAAAAAAAAAAAAAGAGCAGTCGTAAAACATCATAGAGGTATGCATTTTACATGCCCATAGAGTTAGAGAATGTCTAAAATTACGCCTTCCTGGATTTTGAGGTCTTGTTTAAAAAAAGGCTTCTTTATCACGATGTTTTAAACCACCAAATTAAGTTCGCAGTATTAGATGAATTTCTTCTGTGTGTGGTATCTTGGCTCAGGATTGGTTTGGATTGTTTTTTATTACGGAAAAGCACACTAGGACTGTCTGCTTGGAGAAAGAGATACCTTCGTGGAAACCTCTTAAAGAGTTGCCACTTTATACATGGAGAAGACCACGACAGTACCCATGCATTCAGCGATTGATGATCAAGATGATTTGAAACCCAGGTCAGACCAGTGGCGTAGCGAGCGAAACTGGCGCCCGGGCAAGATACCTTTTTGGCACACACCCCCCCAAAAAAAAACAATTACGGTAATATAATGTATAGAATATATTCGTAATAAGAAAATAATACAATTAAGGTCGTTCAGTCACACGCTCGACAGTCGTGACTCGACTGTCGAAATCTCCCCGTAACCTACTGTCGAAATCTCCCCGAGTTACACATTTCTATGAAAGATGGCAGCACCCCCTTCTGACTGGCTATGAAAACTTTTTGCGTAGACATCCATGTTCCTGAATGCCTGATCTCACTAGCCAGTCATTTGTAAATCGCCAAATCGAAGCCATCGTCCACATTTATGATCGTTATCAAAGCCAATCTTATACTTTATGCATTGCAAACTATGAAGAACTTACCTGACAGATTATTAATATTTATTTTCTTTATCAATCTCTGACTTTACCACACTTTCGATTCACAATGACGCACTACTCTCTTAGGTTATTCCATTAGGGGATATTGTGAGTTCGGTATGAAATAACCATATAATCGACAACCTTTTTTAACAAAAGGAAATAGAAGAGATTATAAAGGAAAATTATAACGTTTAACAAGTTAGGAATATGTAAATTTAGTCTGTGACGTAGAAAACTATACGTTTTAGATAAGGAGCGACCTGCAGCATTCCTTTTGTAGTAGGAGATTAAAAACAACTGACACGCGTTGAAAGCTTTGAAGCAGTGAATATACGATGTCTCAGCCTGATGACTTAGTTGAATCGCTAGCCAAGAAGGCCATCAGGCGTTTACAGGAGAGTCAAACGCAATCCATTACAGTGAAAGCGTTAGGAGTTCCCAAAATGTCATTTCCAGACTATGGAATCGGTTTTGGGAAACTGGATATGTTTGAAAAATTCGGGACAAGGTCATGTTATAGTTTTAAAATAAAAAGCAGGATCTATATGTGCATTTCGTATTAAAAAAATAAAAAAATATCTCTATTTCTAGAGAAATAAAGTGGTCAGAAAGAACGTTTTGTATGCGGAGATATTTGGTTGATGTACTGCAAACATTTTATTACACACTTTATCAGACAAATCAAGAAAATAAGTAATTAATTATATTACAATAATTATTAATGTTAAATATATTTTCCTGAAGTCGATCAAAATAAAAACTGAAATTTTCCGGAAAATCTTGTTTCGAGACCATTTGGTCCCCCTCTGCGAGCGGCGCCCGGGGCATCATACACCCCCTTCCCCCCCCCTCGCTACGCTACTGGATCAGACTACAGTATTCAAAGATCTTATTCTACTTTGTAACTAGTAAGTAGTTTTTAGGCGCAAGAAGAATAAATTTAACATAAAATTTTTTTTTAAAAAACCAGCAGGGCATGAGTAAGGCTGTTAATGCTGGTAACTTGGATTAAGGCTTGCATGGGCGTTTTTATAGTTTTTCTCATGTCTAACATAAATACTAGGCAGTGTCTCTTGGAAGTTCTGCATGAAAGCATTCCTCTCTTTAGGCAGATAGCCTTAAGACCCTGCCGACCAACCAGGATAGTGGTTAGTGACTCTGACTGTCGTACCGAAGGGCCCGAGTTCGAATACCGGAAAAGGTATGGATGTTTGTAAATGTATAGTATCTGTGCTTCATAGGGCACTCTAAATATGCAGCGGGCCATAAGTCCTGTCGAGAGTTTGGTTGTAGGGAAAGAAGGATGGGAGAACTTCGGACCCGTTCCCGCCCGGGGTGCTCCTTCCCACAAAAATTGGGGAGGAACTGAGCTAAAGTCGGGCTGTCCCCCTATATGGTGCTCAAGGCTCTTGCCAGCAACAATCGTAATTGGTTCCTTGCCACGATGAATGTCGTGGGCTTGTTCCGACCACTGTCAGGCAAATGAGACTTGTAACAACAACAACAGCAATTCTAATCTTTTGGCCACTGAGGCCGCTCACTTTGAAGCTGAGAGCTCCTAACTGTGCCAGCTGTTCATTCTTTTCAATTCTGATTATGTAAATTTTAAAACAAGTTGGTCTAAGATGCGGTTCGTCATAAGTTTTAATACAGTCCGCTTTCTACTATTTAAAATTTTAAAAATCTTGTAGTTTAAAAAAATAAAATTTCTAGACTAATTAAGTTCTTAAAAATTATTAATACCAATGGAATTCAAAATATCTAATTTTAGAGTCTTTTTCTAACGCTTTTGATTTTAGTAATTTTATTACTGAAAATAAGGCTTAACTTAGTGGTTTCACTGTGGAAGATACTTAGACAATGAAACATGAGGGGGAGGGCTAAATCTTCATATAATTTCAGGTTTAATTATGTTTCTAAAGAATGTCATGTCAGAAGCACAATAATTAAGCATTGTATGCAAATTTAAAAAAATAGCCAAATTTCTTAAAATTCTAGTCACCCAGTTCAAGAACGCGAACAGTAAAACTGCATTTTTTATGAAATTTCTCAAATGAAAAATAAAATTATCTTGAAATCATATTAGCACATTATTTTCTTAAAATTAGTAAATATGTGAATTAGTAACCTATGTGAATATGTTAACTTTTCTATCATGCGTAACTATATATTTGTATAAAATAGTTTATAAAATCATTATATATAATGTCAAGGGAATTAAATGGAAGGTGTTCAAAATTTTCATCTCGTGTCAAAAATTTCAAGTTCTGTGGCAGCTGCTCATGTTCTAAAGAAAAGAGCAAGAATAAATGTAAAGAAGAAATAGATATTAATAAATTGCTGTCTTCTTCTCTGATCAGAAATAAAATTAAAAATATTGTGGCACAATGCTTACTTTCTAGAGCAGAAAGCAGAAATAAAACCTTCAAGCTGTCATCCTTCGCTAAAATGCAGATGTAAACAAACTATCTGGCGCTTTAAATGACAAAAGCTTGAAATTATTTTTACCGTAACTTTGGCTCTAGAACGAATTTTGACATGAGATTTGTTTCTAAATACTTATAAAAATTCCATTTTAACATTAAAGCATGAAATAATTTTCGATATTTTTGGAAGGAGGTCTTTTAAAGGTATCTGCCCCCTTAAATAAAACTTCAAGACATTTCTTTCTATGAAAGCTCAAATATTCATTAGCCTAAATTGCAAAATTTCAAGCTATTCTATTCCATACACCCACGATAAAATTTTTGGAAGTATAATTTTAAATATTTTGTCAAACTTAAACATATTTACATTGTTATGTTTTGATAACATCTTAAACACATTAGTCATGCTACAGATGGGCAATAGTCCATATCTGATTGTATACATGGAACAAAACAATTAAAAAATTTCAGTCCCATTCATTACATGCTATGAAATACTATTCCTAAAATTTTCAAGTCCCAAAGAAAACATGTAATGCATGATAAAACATACAAGTAGACTTGTTCTTTAGGAACAGAGGAATAAAAATAGATTTTAAAAGAATAAACTTTCGAATCACAAGAAAGTTTTTATATCTAATCATAGTTTAAATTTTCATTTTATTATTTGTATTGGAAATGTGATGTTTTTATAATTGTGAATTTTATGAAGAGCATTTTTAAGTCATGAAGAGGAAATCTACTTACCTGCATGCTTTGGAGTAGAACTGGTACAGGCATTGTGTTTCAGGTAGAGCGAAGGAAAACAATGGGCCCTGTTATTCCACTGATGAATGTTTCAAACGAGAACGTTTCGAAAGTATTTCGCTTTATATCACGTACGAATATTGACAGAATGAATATAGACTGTAAACAATTTAACAACAATAGTGAAGAAAAATAATAAGTAATGAACTAATTTTCAAATCTCCTCAATTTAACTCTCAGTTTCGACTAATAATTTATCGTATGCTTACAGAATATATATAATTTGGCAGATTCCGGATAAATTTGCTTCTGTCTCCCCCGCATTCAGTTATATCCTGTTCCTCTGTCTTTTGGAATCCATGAGGCAGGCTTTCTAAGAATTATAATTAAGTTCCGTAAGGTCTCTGATAATCGTAACGATTCCGTAACGTCTGTCCGCCTTATCTCCACCGACACAAGAAGAATTAATATTCGTTTAAAAAAATAAAGAAAAGAGATAAGAAATTTGTGGTATTTTCAGACAGGTATTATTGAGGCCGATGAGTTTATTTACTTGCTCTACAAAGTTAGCTGCATCCGGTGAACTATTTTTTAATTTATAATACCTGAAAAAAGCACATGTGTGTTTTTCTATCTATGTATATAAACCCCATGCACATAACAGAAGGATAATTTACAGGACCTTACCTGTCTCTTTGCGCTAATTTTGGCAAACAATGAGCTGGATTTAAGGATATTCCTTACTCCAATAAAATCTCTCTCATTCTATACCATGTAGAAGCGGAACATGTTCAGAAGCATATTAGAGTGGCGACGTAATATATCACATAATAAAATAATATTTTCTAGGAAAACTGGGAATAAAAATAACTCGCAGAAATAGTTACTATTTTCTATTTTAATAACTCGGCGTTCTATAGCTTGTAAAATTTTCTTCACTGAACTCTATGACTACAAAATTTGATTCAGCTTTACTTATTTGCAAATATTATGAATGTATAATTTTTAGCTTTATGACTATTTAAAAGAACCTTCTTATCAGATTATAAGATAATGTTTCATTTGGTTTAATTATTTGAATATGACAAAGAACACAAAGATTATCTGCTTAAGAGGAGAGATGTCTTCATGGAAAAAATAAAAGTGAAGACGGCTTGCATTCAAGTTACAAATTGAAAATACCATGAAAACCATACAGCCAGCTCTTTGGCTGTGTTTGGACCTGGATCGAACTACCAATATTCCACCGATCTGAACTATTCCGCCTCTAGAGCGGTGTCAGATGGTGTCGATGACGTTATGTATGCATATATGTATTATATAAATGCATGCATAATATATATAATCAAGAGATAATAATTAAATCAAAATTATATCAGGAAACGTGGGCAACCTTCTAACAGGAGGTAACATAAACATAAGTATTTCGAAATTGAAACAAATAAATCAAATTAATAAAACTGTTACAAGTATTCAAAAACAAATGTTAAAAATTCCTTGGTCTTTTTCAAGGAGTAGCCGAAGAATTTTTAACAGAGGCACGTTTCTGAATTATACCTAGATAATTGTGACGACTCAAAATATTTTTAAAAAATTTTAAAAAGATAATTTAATTAAAATAATTAAAATGCCTTGAAAGTTCAAGAAGTAATTTTTTTTAATTTTCAGCTTAATTAATCATCAAAATATAACCTGCTCCGAAATATACCCCAAAATAAAATTTATAAGCATTTTAAATAGGATAATAAAAAGGATTCTCGGATAACAAACAAGAACGATAAATAATTTATTATCTCTAAACAATTTATCATTTTCTATGTATATAATTTTTATTTTCTCTCTCAAAATTGGATTGAAAGCTTAACGGTTAGCAAGGCCCAGAGTACTAGATTATCTGCCGATTACAAAATGTTAGGCAGGCGAAGTGGAATTATATAAAATCTACTGTCTCTGGTCAAGAATTCAGTATTAAAGTATTTCAGGTTATATATTTGAAAAATAATGTCTTTAACTGAGTAGTATTATTTTGGATTGCGTCAAAAGTAAGTCGCGAGGTATGTTTGTGAAAGGGAAAGAACGCCTTCACGGAGATGTGGAAAAGAAGAAAAAATACTGCCTCGTATTTACATTACACGTGGATAATACCACGAAATCTGCCATACAGTTGTAAGTTATTTTCTTCCTCTTTACCGTATTTCTTCGTGCTGCAACTGGAGAGCACATCCGGCTAGCATTTGGGAGATCCGGATTTCGTATTCGGGCAAGAGCTATTGTTGATTTCTCTTAATTTCTTGGCTTCAGAAAAACCAAACTGACTTCTACAGTGACGCTCGAACGACAATTCGTCACCATCAGGGTTTGGCGATTGGGTCACGCGCATATCGGCTTCAACGCGAGAGGGGACTCGTTACCTTTTGAATGATTTATTTTTTTTATTTAAGAACTTTCATCTACTTTTTATGAATATTATTAAATGATTTCGTAAGACAAAACGATTTTAAGCTGAAAAAAAGTTTTACCAGTGATATTTTTTTTTTCATTTAAATTTTTATGAAGACAAATTTAACAATTAAAATGTCTTTCTTCTCCTACAATTTTCAATGTCCCCCCCAAACTGTTTTATTGAATTTATTATAGTGTTTTTAATAACTTAAACAATCGATTTTGCAATTAATGAATTAGCTTCTGAGAAAAAAAATAAAAACACGTTTTTATGTAAAAATTTTGAAACAATTATGATTACAATCACATTTTCACTTCAAATAATTTTTCTTTTCAGTGTTTTGCCAACCCCATCCTTGTTTCTATAAAGAATATAGTTTTAAAATAAGCAGTAAAAATATTAAATAATTTAGTCCATATCTATATAAGTTTTAAGACTCTAAGGAAAAGGACTTATCGAAAAAAATGCAAACTCAGAAAACGCAGTTTAAAGAATGTAAACTGTCTAAATGGTCATTAAATCATTTCAAATTCCATAAAAATTTCATTACTGAATTTCAGTACATATATGCTAACAAAAAAGGAACTTTAGATTATACTTTAAATTAGCTCTTAATTCCCTTAATTCCTCTTTTCAATTTGAAAACGCGTCATATTTCGAAATTAATTCTGCAACCTCTGTATTGCACATAATTCCTTGGCCAATCAGATTAAAGCAAAACGTCTAATATAAAACAGCAATTAACTGCGTGCCTGCCTGCTGACAAAGTGTCGCTTAGCCTGTTAGCTATTCTCCATTATCTGAGATGTAATGGCATGTCTAAACTTAATGGGCGCCAGTGGCTGATAGAGCCGAGGAGCGATTTCGGGGCCGATCAAGAAACTCGAAAGATGGAATCGACACAGATGACTCGGCGAGACAGCCCTACGCGTGAGGCAGACATGGATGCCCGGACCGCATTCTGTCACACTCAAACTCTCATGAGATACGGTAGCTGTAAGCTGTAGGGTAGGGTAGAGCAGAGCAGAGCCTACAGTCGAAAGTGGTCGACAGCCGAGAGGTAGATTTATGAAAATACAGTACAGTCACACGCATATATATCTATATCTAATTATATAAAATCTACTGTCTCTGGTCAAGAATTCAGTATTAAAGTATTTCAGGTTATATATTTGAAAAATAATGTCTTTAACTGAGTAGTATTATTTTGGATTGCGTCAAAAGTAAGTCGCGAGGTATGTTTGTGAAAGGGAAAGAACGCCTTCACGGAGATGTGGAAAAGAAGAAAAAATACTGCCTCGTATTTACATTACACGTGGATAATACCACGAAATCTGCCATACAGTTGTAAGTTATTTTCTTCCTCTTTACCGTATTTCTTCGTGCTGCAACTGGAGAGCACATCCGGCTAGCATTTGGGAGATCCGGATTTCGTATTCGGGCAAGAGCTATTGTTGATTTCTCTTAATTTCTTGGCTTCAGAAAAACCAAACTGACTTCTACAGTGACGCTCGAACGACAATTCGTCACCATCAGGGTTTGGCGATTGGGTCACGCGCATATCGGCTTCAACGCGAGAGGGGACTCGTTACCTTTTGAATGATTTATTTTTTTTATTTAAGAACTTTCATCTACTTTTTATGAATATTATTAAATGATTTCGTAAGACAAAACGATTTTAAGCTGAAAAAAAGTTTTACCAGTGATATTTTTTTTTTTTTCATTTAATTTTTGATTTGACGGCATATAAGACGCACTGGCATATAAAACGCACCCTTATTTAGAAAGCCACACACAAGGAAAAAAAGTTTCAATAGTCCAATAACTTAAAATGTGGTTTCTTTTAGTTCTCACGTTTCGTATAAACCAAATAAACAATCATTGAATGCAATTACCAAACATATTTTTATTAAGGAAAATTAACAAACGGCAAGCTATTTTGAACATGATATTTAAATTTCAATAATGAATAAATGAACGAACGGCAAGCAATCAAACATAATACAAAATAAAGCAGAAACAACAAAAAACACAGATTCAAGGAAAACGTTGCCTATCATGAAATTAATCAAAACCATAAAAATCCTTTTTACTATCATCATCATCGAAAACGAGAATATCGTCATCACTACTGTTTCCGCCATCACCTTAGTAGTATCACCTTCTTCGAATAATGCATCGTCTTCTGTTCCGTCAAGAGCATTACTGATTCCGCACTTCTTAAAGGACTTAACAATTACTTCAGCCTTTACGTTCTCCCAAGATCTTTTTACCCACTCGCACACCTGTGAAATAGAGGGCCGCTTCATTCTACCTGAGAGTGTGAGGGCGTGATGTGGCTCTCCTATCCACTTGTTCCATTGTTCTCGCACTTTTTCCTTTAATGGCTCATTCATGGCATTATGGCAGATGTAGAAAAAGTTATGTGTGTCTAGACCTTTATTCGAGCTAAAAATAGCACACCGTATTGAAAGTTAATCTGTGTCCTTCACGTATAATACGCAGGTAACTTTTTTGAGACCAAATTTAGGAAAAAAAATGCGTCTTATATGCCGTCAAATACGGTATATAAACCTTAAGTATCTAAAGTTAAACTGGAGTCAAAGCAAGGCAATTACTCAGTAATATTAATAATTGCTACCGTGTATAAGAGGTTTAACACAAATCTAAACAAATCGAAATTTAAATAAGAATTCATAGTAGTACAAACTCGAATATACTTTAACTCCAACTTACCTTTAACTTTAGATGCTTTAAATTAATTTTACTTCAATCCTGCAGCTATAGTGCAGGACGGATATAAAATTTTTGTTTTTAATTTTTAGCCTCTTATTGGGTTTCTTTCTGTATATATATATAAAATATAACCTAGTGCTATTCAGTTGGTTAATATAAACATGAATTACAAGCTTTTATTTAAAATCTTTGTAAAAACGCTTCAAAA